ATGTGAGTTAATCAAAATGTATATCGACGTATGACAGGTTACGTCGTCCATAATAAATTATTAATAATAATTGGGTCTCGAACTTTAACGATGTATAAAAACGTACGTTTTTGTATTATGCATTTCATAGAGTTATGCACTAAGTAAACGTGAAAATATGAACTTGTTATTGTCTATTAATCACGGGTTCGCATGTTTTTACAATGAAAACTGCATAGGTAATGATAGTTTGATTAGAATCTATATAAAATCGTAATAATATGATTTCCAAATTTTCACATTAACAATACATTCACTGAAGTTACGTATAATACATTTTTGTTAAATATATACAATTGTYGGTTATGATGTATAGATTGATTAAAATCTCAAATCGATGTAGGTATACCTGTTTTTAATCTGCATATCATTAGGCATTCGTAAGAATTCATGATTTCGATTCACATATAACCGATACTTATTATAGATTTAATACAAACAATTTTAATGAAATTTTGGCACGGATTAAAAAATTTAATATTTTAAAAGTGGGTCTCATTATGTCAGTAGGTACCTACCAACAATGGATAAGTCGTGTAATAATAAAATTATTAGAATTATTAGAAAAACGATATTACGCTAGACTTTTACGATGAGTGCCTACAATATTTCCAGTAGTTTACCAAATGTTCACAGTTTACATAGAAAAAACTTTGCATTTGTCGTACTGTCGTAGCGTTTTTATTTTTATATTTTTGATATCAATTCTCAATAATTTGTAATAAGCAAACGAAAAAAACGAATTCGTACGAATATATAGTTTGGATTGTCTATAAATTATTATAAAATAATTAAAATGCATCTTACTTTTCTGTATAGTACATAAACTCTATTTTGTAAAATTKAATATGAATTATATTTTTTAATATTATATTTTGTCTACCTGGTAAAGCCGGTTGAGATAGTTAAATTGTGACTATTCCTAGTTACACATAATATTATACCCATATAGTGTGTGTTATGAAACGTGTTTTTGTATTCAAATAACTAAGTAGTTTTTAGCATGAATATAATATGTATAATATTATATCAGTTATAGATACTATTTTGGGAATAAAATGTTAATATATCATAGCACTTTATTTATAATTAAATATACAATTTACTAAAATTAAAAAATCATTTAATTTATTAATATGATTTAAAACATTTAATTAAGTATCATTATAACCTATACAAGTAGGTTGATGCGCATCATTATTTTTATTTTCTGTCAATTTAAATACAAAWTGTGATAATTTATACATGTAATATTTATAAAAATGATTTATATTGAAAAAACGGCAATGTCTCAATGACTGAAGACTGATTAATATTTTAGTTGTATACTGGTACACAGTAACAATTATTTTAATATTTTAATAATTAATATGAATGTTTGACAGTAACTTGAGACATATAGAAAATA